TCGCAGATACGGAAGCTAAATCGGGGGTTTTAGGAAACGAGTAGTCGCCAGCCGACGATCATACCACCTGATGCCACGCCCTTTTCCTTGACCGTGGAAGTGGCTCTCGACAGTTACAGTGCCCGGCCTCGTCAAACCAAAGGGTCCCAGCAATCTGGTTGAATTGTTTTGGCCCGGTCATGGCGGAAAAAGTGTCGGAAAAAAGGGAACTTTGTTTTCAGCATACCTCGTCAGAAACATTACCCTCAAGACAGGTTGACGCTAGGCCGGCTCTGGATTGACTGGTGACCGCCCGGAATGTTGGCATCTTGTACCTATTCTCCAGCAGAGCTCGACTGCTCCTTTGTATGGATGAACGGCCTGAAAATTAGTCATCTCAACTCATAACGTTACAGACGACATGATAAACAATAACTCTGGGGTGAGCTCGCATCTTGCTGCCTCTTGGTGTCTGCCCGACAACTTCGACCACAAGACATATTGGACGCCCCATTGTTGCATCGCCAGGCGTGAAGATACAGTGTGTTTCGGTTAACGCGCTCTCACACAACTATAAAATACCATCGACCTGCAGCCGGCTCTGAAATCGTAGCAGTAGCTCTTATTCTTTGTGAAACACGGGCATCCTGGGTATGCCATCCCTCCCTTCACACATCAGAGCACCAATATTTACAGCCCACTGCCAACAACCTTCCTGTGACCGGAAGAGCCCTGCTCACCCAAGACGGTCAGCTTCGCCAACTGAAGCCGTCATGATGTCTTCAAAGGAATCGAAGGAGACTGTCCTTATCATACGTCTGAACAACCGTTTAGACTGGACCTCTTGGTATGATGATATCTTACGCATCGCCAAGGCACGGAATGTTTGGGACTATGTTGGTCCCAACAGGTCTATCACTTTGGTGCCTCCGCCGGCTCCTACGGCAGCCCCAATCCCTGTAGAAGGTAGAAGAATGGGAGAGTTTGGAAGAAGCTGCTCAGGCTGCGGGGATTAAGCCGCGGAAGACTCATCGCCATATTGGGAGCGATCAGAAAACTGCTCGTGCACGGAACGCTGATGACTATCGTCAGAGGCACTAATCTATCATAAAGCTATCGGAAGCTGTTGACACATCGATTTCAGAGGTGCACAGGTAGTACATCCCGAACGCCGATGGTATCAGGGCTAGGATCATCGCCCCGAAGAAGAGGATCATGTCGTTACCGCGCCAAGACCACGATAACGCTCATGACAAGTCCTTTGATATGTCTCAACAACGCATAATTCAAGGTTGAGATTCTTGGGCTACTCACTTTTAACGAGCCTACGAACGAGCCAACCGACTAGGGGTTAAGACCATAAATAAGACAGTTGCTGTGAAGGCATTCCTGAGAGCCATACAGCATCAAGCTCCTCCCTTTTGGACCTTCTAGAGCCAATACAACATGGCTGAAAGGGCCAGGACGGAAGGGCAGGGAAAGCCAGTGGAATTGAAGACCTTGATTGAAGGAATCTCGAACAGCCGGGTCCTCAAATGCAACATCGCCCGGAGGGCAAAGATCCGCAACCCGAAGTGCCCAGTTTGCTCGCGGATGCACCCGGTCAACGCAGAGACCTGGTGGGAAAACCACTGGAACTATGTGACCTTTTTCACCCTGAACGCTCCAGGCAGGGCTTTTTTGTTGCTCCCCAAGCGAAGACCCGACTGGAGAAGTGGTCGCGAGAAAATCCCTTTCAAGCTGCCAAGGCTAGAACGTGGAGCCCTGTAAATGACACGACTAACGGTCCAAAGCAAGAGCCTGGAAAGAAACATCCCGAATCGGCCGAAATCGATATCTCTTGTCAGGGACCATCGGATCGAATGAACGCAAATGGGGCAGTGGTCCTGGCTAACTTCGCGGCCTCTCAAAGCAGCCTTTACAACATAGCTATTTGGGACTCGGGATCGAACGTACACTTGTTCAACTCAACTGCTTGGTTCTGCAACAGCGATCTGAAGTCGACTGACGACTTCACCAACACAGAGACCCAGGAGCTCAAGATCGAAGAAAAAGGAACAACATTTGTTGGAACGGAGGAAAAGGCATCACGATTCGGCTCCAAGACACCTTGTACGTTCCCGGTATACACACGAACGTCGTATCTACGAAGATCATGGAGAAGGCTGGTTTCCTTTGTGATAGACGTGACGATACGGTCTATCGCCGTACGAGCGGCGAGGTCTTCAAACAGTTGTGGGATGTTGAGGATCAATACGCGATTTCCTCGATCACGGCCACAACGGTTATAACGGTCAACCGACCTTAAATAACCCACAGAATGGTGGTGCTGAGCTATGGCATCGACGACTGGGTCGCCTGGGCCCTGATTCAATGGAAAGGCTCACGAAGCAAGCCTTCGGTTTGGCTATGCGGGGACCAGCGACTTTCGAATGCAATATCTATGCCGTCAGCAAGATCAGACGTACGGTATCGCGGAAGACCCCTGGAATGAGGCCAAGGGTACCAGGAGCGGTCATGAGCTTCGATCTTCCTTACTATCAAGAGCCAGACTACAACGGGGACAGATACTATGTGATCTTCACATATGTGAGCACCGGAACGAGGTTCCTCTTCTCCTTGGCTACTAAGAGCGAGATACGAGATGCTCTGAGGCATCTCAAGAGCTTCCTGTGGACTTCCTTTGGGATCAGGATCACGATGCTGATCTCTGACAACGACCCAGCTGTGTACGACAGCTATATCAACAAGGAGTCCCTTGAAGACGGGATTAGACTCATTCAGTCAGCCCCCTCAACTCCTACGCAGAATGGTCATCCTGAACGATCTGGGGGGGTAGTAGAGGAGAAATTCAGGGTTATGAAGCGGCAGTCGAATTTCCCAGGAGACCTTGAGCCGGGGATCATTCGAGCCGCGGTATACCTTCTCAATAGAACTCCGATCCACAGGAATGACGGTGATGGCTGGAAAACATTGTACGAGCGTTGGTGGACCTGGATGAGGCAGAACGCCACGCAATTCTCTCATATTATAGAGAGCCCGAAGCTATTTTCCCTACGGATGTGGGCTTCAATGAGGCTCTCATCAATGACCCGGATCGCGAGAAGGATGCAGAAGGAGCCGAGGAATATACCTATGATGCTTTGGGAGAGATGACCCGTATCAGCGTTGAACAGATCAGGGATCGGCATGACTACGAGGTTGCACTTGGACTAGGGGGTGACGAACTGGATGTACAAGAGGGGGCCCCTGAAGCACGCCCTGAAGGCACCTGTGGGGAGTCCACTCAAGATGGACCCTCTGAGCTAGAAGAGGAGTCCCCAGAAGATGCATTCCTTACACCGCCGGCCTCGAACGACGGCGCAGGCGAGCCGGCTATGACAGAATGGGCCGTATCACCCGATCAGTTGGAGCGCTAATCGGAGAGGTCCAGCAGCTGGTAACCGACAATTTCAATAACGACTGGAATTCCCTCGAAAATAAACATCGAGATCCCGAACCAGGACCATCAGTCGCAGATTTCGATAGCTCCCAACGAGATGATTTGAGCGACATATCTCTTGAGTCGCTGCTGGGTCTGGGGGGTGAGGGAGAAACGATCACCGTTACGACCGAAAATGACGTTTCACGGTCCCCAGCTACGGTCACTCGACAGCGCTCTAGGAAGCCTGATGACACCAACCAAGGCATATCGGCGGACGACATTATTGCAGGCCGACGATCGAGGCAGGCCAACAAGAGGGCCGAGGAAGGCCAGAATCAGACTTGGAGAAGGAAGGGACCTAATGCGTCGGTGAATGCGATCTTGGCCCAAGCAATCCAGGTCCTGTTACATCAGAAGGAACTCCCGCATGCCCCGAAGTCATACTCGGAGGCAATGAAGAGCCACTACAGGGATGAGTGGCTGGAGGCCATATAGACTGAGCTCGAGAAGCTACGATTGATGGAAGCGTATGCAGCTGTGTCGCTTCAGGAGCTCGAGGACAGGCCACAGATCGAACTAGTGACCCTCAAATGTGTATTTGACTACAAGTTCGATGAGAAGGGATATCTGACGGGGTTCAAGGCGAGGCTCGTGGTCCAGGGAGACCAGCAGCTGCTATTCGTATCCTATGCGCAATTTGCTGTGCAGAAAACTGGGAGACTCGCCAGTACGACGTTGAGAACGCCTTTACCAACTCTGTGCTTGATGAAGGAGTCTACTGCCGACCTCCGCATGGCTCAGCAGGAGAGGGCTACTGTTGGAAGTTGGACAAAGCTCTGTATGGACTACGAAGGTCCCCGAGGCTACGGTCCAACACCCTCTCCGATTACCTTAAGTCCCTGGGATTCCAGCAACACGAGGAAGATCAGTGTGCCTTTCGCTGCGGGAATGTTATCGTCTTCTTTGTGAATAATATCGTCATGATGTACCCAAAACGCGCTGTGGACGAATGGAAGGACATCCACAAGGCGCTCATGGCAGCGGACAAGGTCAAGGACCTAGAAAAGCTCCGTTGGTTTCTTGGAATTGAAGTTACCCGAGACCTGGAAACTCGACAGATGTGGCTCACACAAGAGATATCTCTCCACGGTCGCAGCTCGATTTCGTCTCAACCGCGTTCAAAATAGCCATACCTGACAAATTAGGCTTGGTCATGGCGCTCTTGAGTTCAAAAAGATTTAACTGTGGACTGGGTTTGAGGCAAGCATTGAGGTCCGCAAAAGGGAAAGAAGAGGAAACGCTCCATTCCAGCTATTGTTTTCCCAGTTGGAGACGTGAATAGAAGCGCTACTGTAGGGATGATCCCTCTGGGGCAATGACTTATTAAATGAGCGCGTTCTAATGTAATACATAGCAGGTAGCGGAGCCCTACCTTGAATAATCTTGAAATAATGAGGTCTTATTTCTTAGATATAAATTGCCCTGCAAGCATTGGGACTTATTCGTCTTATGGCATGCTGGGAATTTGAACCAAGATGTTGTGTAAGATTAGGGGACCACGTCGAGACGGAAAACTGGTAACCCGTAGAATCACGAAATGGGAACCGTAAGCAAGAGCGTAATCGAAGAACTTGGCAACCATCTCGCGCTAATGGCAGTACCAGTTCCCCTCTGCTTCATATTCAGCATTATCACGATCGATGCGCCCCGTGTGATTGTTGTCCGAAGCTATATCGCTGTCCCTTTAGCACAAAACAATGTTGGTATCAATGGCACTCTGCCATATACCTCCTGGGCTGAAGAGTTCACACCGTGGGAACTCATCGTGATCATCGTTAGATCACCGAAGGATTATTCACATAACAAGCACAGCATAACGTGCAGACGTATCACTCTCTTGCTTGAATAGTCTTTTCATCCATTAAAGATGTCAGGACTGGTACGATATGTTGCCAACGGAACTGGGTTGGCATGCTGGCGACAGCTACCAAGCCATGCGAGCCTGTGGATGAGCGCTTCCAAAGCCGTATTAGAGTGAACAGACCTTAGTGACTGACAGTAAACTTGGATAGGGAGCACGTAGAGAAGACAAGACGGTAGACTAGCCACATAGCTGATAGTACGATAATAAACCTTTTGATTCTTGGTCTCTCGATCTTTCACGCCATCTTTATATTTTGAAAGGAAACTAGGTTGCTATCTGGAGTATCATGATTCTGTGGAGTGATGATGATTTTATCGAGCCAGGAAACCAGCGATTCCACACTTTGCGCCAGCGATACTATAACGCCACTGCCAACGTCATCAAGAGCGTCCTACAAATGGGCAGGGTCATTGGGCGGCCTATAGAGTGAGTACCGACACTACAGCGTCTGTATCCCGATTTCCAATAATGCGGTTGCAGGACAATACCGGCGGCTCATCTAAGTGAGCTTCAATGTCTCAGCGAATCTCTTATCTCAGAACACACCTTAAAGTTTAGTAAAACGGTCGACTTGATACCCTACCTTAGACGCCGGTCCCCTACATACCTCATTAGCTAACAGTGTACTGTTTTAGCACCCGGAGTGGAACTGTTGCTTTGTTGGATGATGGTTCAATCTTCCGCTACAAGAAGGCTTGCGGATTTCTCTCAACCGCTCGTTACGAGTACGGGAGCGTCACAAACGATGGCTCGTCGAACGTCGACCCCACTCAACCGGTGCAACTTCTCTACGTTGGGGTATTTTATTCACTAGACGGAGATTGCATCGATCCTCGATAATTTGGTTACTGTTTGACCAATCCTATGGGCTCAGGTAATCAATCAAGATGGAGTCGACCGTGTCCCACGCGCCGCAGACTTGTACATAGCTAACACTACTTGGTGCTCCCCGTGGGGTGTGTTTACCAGACTGTTCCCGCTGACCGAAACTGGACGGCCGCAAGATACCGATGACGAAACCAGCCGCAAAGTATCCCACATAGTAGTTAAAGCTTGAAGTTCTTATATGAGGATATTTAATAGACATTAACGCAACAGTTTGAGAGTCATGGTCGTTTTAAAACAAGAGCTTTATTATTTAGTTGTTATCATGGCGTCAAGACTCGATCACGCAAAGACGCCGCGTGTTTGCCGTCATGCTTATCACCCCCGGCTGTCCTCACTTCAGTCTGTTGGGTATGAAATCGGTGAAAGTTCTCAAATGATGGAAGGTGATCGGCTCGAAGGTGCAGAAATGGTTATAAAGCTAATATCTCACACGAGATGCGGCCGTCTTATGAGTGAATTGAGCGAGCGTGGTTACCCGCAACCATGGGCGCTCTAACAGCGTTGAAAATTGGGCAAGCCGAGCATGCTTCGATCATGCTGTATCTGCATGGCAGAGAAGCTAATTTAATATGACAACTCGTCGAAGTTGTCTATTTCGAACTGAAGAGGGAAAGGGCCGTTGACGACCGAGAGGGTAGCTGTTCAGATAATTAAGCTGTCACAGCCAAGGTGCAATCTCTCGTCCTTGGTATCGACTAAACCTCGTTCCTCACACTGTAACAGCGTGCCTGTCCATGGATCCTGCGGCCTCGAGTTCTTCTTCCCACGGTCTTCTTATGTGATTCCATATGAACCAGGATTTCTGACTTGACTTCTCGTTTATTTCTCGAGAGGACCTACTTCACAGGGGCCTTGTCGTAACTTTGTTGGCCTTTAGAGTCACTAGGGCTGCTTGTCCTGCCCTTTTGCCTTCGTGTGCCGCCTGGTGTCTTCGCGAAGGTAACCCTCGTGCTTTCATTTTGGGATTAACCTAGAACGCCGGTGAGGGCATCATGGTCTTGGATAAGTAAGTATTAATTGCTCCGTACTATATAAGAATGCAAGATGAACCCCATTTGACAACCTGAAAGCGGAGAATTCCATAGCAGGTCTCCGAAGACGCATCGCGCAGATGAAAGACCTCTATTGTCATCTGAGCCGCTGCCACGGTAAATCTTTTCCTTTCAACCGTACCATCTGCATCTTTGCGTTGTGAGAATGTAGTTCATGGGCTGTTGCGAGACATGACTTCGAATCCTCGTGAGAAGTCTTCACGAACACGAAGCCGTCGGCTCTTTGGTTGAATTACGGTGGTCATTGATGAAGCAGCCGACTCTCCACAATCTGCAAAATATGGAGTCCTTCAAGAGGTATCTTGACATGTTCTTTTAGTACGAGTCATATATTTTACCATCTTCCCCCACAACTAGACAGAGTCGGTTTCTTTTGGCGTGCTAATGGCCGGTTTTCATCCTCAAATATATTCTTCTTCGTCAACTGCAGCTGTGAACACTATCACGAGAGTTGGGTCTTGGCTTTCATGGTCTCCGTGGCCACTCAATCTCCATGAATATTCTCCGATCTCGATAACCGTTCCTTTTTGCCTTCAAGGAACACAGAGTGATCGTTCAAGTTGTCTCCATCTTCACTCACCAGGTTCCTCCAACTCGAGGCGATAGTGACTCTAGCATTGACATTCATGTGGTTATACACGCCCATAGCCGAGCGTGAGAGAAATTCACATCTAGAACAATGCTCAAGCCATCTTTCTCCCTAGATGGTGGAGTTCTGTCCTCGACCCGTTCGCATGCAGTTGGTTAAAACTGCAATAATCCGTACGTTCTCCCCCTATTGATGATATTAAGGCCAAAGTTAGCAATGGCAACCCTGGTAAATGGCGTTGGTGACCTCGGGAAGCACTTTTGACGTCATCGACCATTAATAAGGCCCGCAACATCGCCTCAAGTGTGTTGTCATCGGGAGCATCAACGTGAAGAACCAGGTTCTCCCAAGGATACTCTATCCACGCCTAGGTAACAGTCAGACCATGAAGCCCAAACCTCGTATCTTTTATGATCGTTGAAGGTGTCCCCCTCCATTAGTAGGAAGTGCCATGTGTGTGCTATTCTTGATCGTCGCTGAATCTCCCGGGCTTGAACGGAGTTGTGTGGAAACAAGTTCCTGTCGAGGGCTTTCAGCTATCTACTTGCTCTCTTCCCATCTAGGATAGGGCTTTCACTTCTCAAAAAGAACATAGTCTATATCCGAGGGCTTCCATAAAAGCGGTCCGTCTAGGGTGCAGAGTGTGCTAAAGTTTGATGGACCGTGCATCATTGCCTTATCCGTCCTTGGGTCCGATCATTTTCTACACCGCTTGAGTCATCGTCTTGGACAAGTAGCCCGTCATTTGTGTCCTTGATTCTTGGACGCCGACCTGCTGTCTATCTTATCTGTATCAGCCGCAATAGGCGATGCATAGGTGCATATCGTTACCACGTGGTCAACGTACACGTCCCCGGTGAGCGTCACCTTGAACAACAGCAGGGACTGCCGTGATCTCAAAAGACCTCTTTATACTCTTTCTCTCAGTATACCCCTTGTACTTTTCATAGACCGTGCCGTGGGCTGCTCTCAAACAGCGGGGCACTGCATTCATCCTCATCCGAGCAGACAGACTAACAAAAAGATTGCACGTTTGTCGCGATTTGACCACTACTCTCTCCGTCTAGCTGAATCGCTCATGTGCGCAATGCTAAATGAATCAAGGTGGTCAAAAAGTTTGCAGTAAGGAATGAGGTTTTGCCCTGAGCTGGGGAAAGTTATACCTGAGCTCCATCCTTTTAATTTCGCATAGTGCTCCAGTCAGACAGCTCCCTTCTTCCTCTTGCTGTTGATGAAGAGGAAGACAGTTTGCAGCTGTAGATGATACCGGCAATTCGAAAGACGACTCCCGCCCTAATATTAAAGAACAATACTTGCCTCTCGACGCCGTCCATACATCTTCAATATCTAACGGATGGCTCACATTCTTGCACTTACTACTACCAACGTAGGAATCGGTTGAAGCTCCATACAAACTCGTCAGATCTGGTCTCGAGGGGTTTAGCGGTGAAGGTTCCGGAACGAAATATATCTATTCCGGGCCCAATGGCACAGGCATATAGGCGTCAAGCCATAGTGCCGAGTCGTGTTCGACGACGAGTAGAAGCTCTCAGAACTGCAGATTAATTTCTTTCTCCAAGCCCTGTCTTGGCTGGGATCTATGTAAGAATACCGGTGCTTCTAGGTCACAGAAGCATACCATGATTGGTTGGAGCCGATATTGGAAAAGGTTTTGAACCAAAGTTCCTCTTAAAGAGGGTAAAGGGTATAAACGGCAGTTGCAGGAGCAGATATGCATATACCTATTGGTCGATGGTGAAAGATTACGGTACGGGAATGGAGATGGAAACCTTGCCTCAAGTGCCACTTGGGATATCACTAGTATTAGATCGATTCTTAAGTATGAGTGCGAAGACAATATCGACAAGAATCCAACGGTTTGATATTACATGCTGCTTTGCATTGCAAAGTCAAAGCATACACGCGAGGCCTGAAATTCATGCCAGTTTGGCTAAGGAGCCGCCTGTCTCCGCGGACCAACGTTCCTTTTCCTTTGACCATTTTGATGATTTTAACCATTTTAATAGCCACCTGGTACGCAAAAGATCAGAGGCAGAGGTGAGCGTGTACACTGAAAAGATGATGATCCTTATTGGTGTTGCCGCCGCAACCCCCACGCGGCCCATCGTCAAGATGCCTAGTACGGGATACTGGTTGAGGTTTTCTGACTCACCGCTCTGAACTTTCGTGGTGGAACTCGTTTTGATAAGGACAACTTGCAGCACGCCGAAGGCCAACGCTAGACACTCGGTCAGTTTGAAACTTCGAGTGAAAAACGCTGGACGTTGATATCATAACATCATGACCCGATGTTAACACAGTGGTGTGCTCTTCATGTGATCAAGAGAAAGCGGTTTGGTTTGCATAGAGTCGGTCAAGAAAGGCAGCCTCAATATTGGTTCCACTGTCATGGTTGGTTGACTTTGCATGACGTCATTGAAGCCCTTCGCGATGCAGCAATCAACGAGTCTGATTCACTTGGCAGATGTTCGGCCTCATGCTTATCCCGCCTGCCTTGAATATTCGGCTTCTATTTATCGCTTTCAATTGACGTAGCCATGTCCAACCCAATATCAGATTTGAACAGAGCACGGACGGTTGACCTAAAAACTCCGTTTTATACTGGCGAAGGCTACCGTTAAGTACGGTGATGGCCTCATCACCCCTACCCTAGACCATGGGGCCGCAGCGCGCTCTTTGTTTGACATTGTGTAAGGCTGTGGTAAAAATGACTGTACGGTTATCCTCGTCTTACATCAGTTGTGCCTAACGACAAGTCAAAGTCATGAGTGCATGTTTTGGTTGCGACCGGGAAGCATTAGAGAAATTTAACGTCATCAATATTTTCAAAACGCCATCTGCATCATAAAATCAATGCATGCAGGCAAGGGCCCAAGCATTCACAAGAATATTATTATGCAGGTCCTTTCAGTCTATCCTTCTTGTATAACTCTAGATACGTATTTTTTGTCCCATATCTATTGCCGAGAGGCGTCAACGCGACACGACGGGATTGTCTCGCAGGGGACGGTCAAGGTACGGCCAGTCAAGCAAGATAAAGGCACAGGGGCATCATCGACGTGTATGTCAGCGCACTCAACAAGGGCTGAGAAGCACATAAACAGAGGATAACAGCTATTAAGCTACGGGAAATAAAAGCAATTGGGAGCACCATGGCCGGCAATGCGCCTGTGCGCGTCGCCTGGTGGTTGACCCAGGACTGGCTGCGTGTGCGCCCCAGTGATAAGGCATCTCCCAGGCTAAAGGCCCAGGCTTATTCAATATTGATAGTGCAGTACATCTGGCTCGGAGTGACCAGTGGCTGTGTGATTGGTTGGGAGCGCGACGCGGACTTGGGGTGGCGCGACATGGCGTCTCAAGAAGCGCGTCGAAGCGCGTCACGCTCCCAGCCAACGTGTTGTTGTGCCTCAAGAAGCCTTCATGGACGCCAATTTGATGGACTTGAAATGGCCAAGATGAAGGGGCAACCGCAACTGTGTGGACAAGCCCCATTTTCATTACTACGACAAGCAATCTCACGGATGAGCAGGAGTATTGGAGACAAGTCGCTGGAATGGACACACGGGCCAGACCCAGATCATGGGACCGGAGTCATGGAGACCAGGGCCATGCAGACAAGGGCCATGAAGGTTGGAGATTGGAGTCATGGAGGGTCATGGAGACCAGGGTCATGGAGACCAGGGTCATGGAGACCAGGGTCATGGAGACCAGGGTCATGGAGACCAGGGTCATGGAGACCAGGGTCATGGAGACTGGAGTCATGGAGATGAGGTTCATGAGGATCATAGAGACGGGGATCATAAAGAGTCATGGAGACCAGAGTAGTCTGTAGAAACGAGAGTGATGCAGGAGCATGGAGGGCCTTGGAGACCAGAGTAGAGATAAAGATCATGAAGACCAGGGTCATGGAGACGAGGACGGGGGCGATGAGTGACATGGAGACAGAGTAGAGATGAGGTCATGGAGATGAGGGTAGGCATGGAGACCAGAGTAGAGATGAGAGTCATGGGGGCCGGTTATGGAGATCAGAATCATAAAGACTAAAGTTATGGAGACCTGGGCCGTAGAGACGAGGGTCATGAAGATGAGAGCCATGGAGGCGAGAGCCATAGAGAGCGAGGGCCATAGAGACAAGAGTCATAGAGGTCAGGATCATGGAGATGGGATCGCGCGTGGTCTTGAAGACAGTGTCGTAGAGAAAGAGTCAGAGAAGGGATGCAATGGATCACGCTGCGGCTGTCACAAGAGATGTCATGTGTGGAGGTAGGGGACCTGAAGAGGAGTGACCGTGGAATGGAGGGATGCGGTGGGCAAGGAGAGTCAAGGAGCCGTTAGATCTTTGGGCGGGAGGACGTTAAACAAATCACGAGAAAAGGTTGTAGGGAAGAAGAGAAGAGAGAGTTGTATGGAAGAGGATGGACGAAAGAGATGAGAAGTGCCCATCCCAGATTCCAAGTCCTTGGGCGGCCAGGCTGGAAGTTCGATGGATACAGGTGCAGGTTCGGAGGGTCGAGCGGATGAGCTGCTGCGTATATATAAAGGGGACCTGGTGCTTATTAATCACCTGGTCAGACGAGCCACCACACCGTCTGCATGACGAGGGCCCTGCGCCCCTCACACCAGGACGCTGCAGATGTTGGGCTGGTGGCGATGTGTTGGCTTGAGGTCGCGCCGCGCAGGCCATCTCAACCAGGTTTCACCCTTTGGAGTGACAGTCAAGAACATCACTGTTCAGCATCGCTCGTGTTCGTTGAGTACGAGACTCTGAGGAGCTTTGAAAGTGTTGATGATGTCAAGACTCCCAAGAGGCCTCCTGGCGATATCCTGAAAGAACACGAAAATATGCCTCCGCCTGCCCAGCCTTCTGTGTCCTGCATGAGCTGGGTTTGCCCGTGGGACAAGGTCAGGTGCCATGCAAGAGCAAACGCTGCAAGGCTAGAGTTGCTCCTGCATGCACTCTGGCTCCCCCGTCATCGTTGGGCCCATCTTTGGCCTTTGGTTGGCCCTCCTTGGATGCCTGTTCCTTGCTGCGTTTGCTCGACAATAGGAACGCTAAACCGTAGCTCTGCATCTACACCGTTTGAATAGAACGGCTGAGTTGTTGGTTCCTTCTGACCCACATGGCTTTTCGGTAGTTCAATGTGCCGAGAATAGGGGTGGGCTCAAACCAACCACAAGATACACACCAAAATCTATTCTCGTCCGTATTCCTCAAACCCACCGAAATCACCGAAACTTCAAATTGGAACACAATGTCGGGCTCAAGAGCTTTCGATGAAGCCGCAACATGATATAGGTTCGTTCAAAAACAGGTGGCCACGGTGAGGGCTCTCCATCTCCCGACCGTCGTCCCTTTGTTCTGAATGATTCTGATATATCATATTACCTGCCAACGGGCCTCAGGAATACAGCAACCCTCCCCGGTCAGTGAAATGAGGAGGAAAGGCTGGCTGGAAACCCCGGCATGCCTCATTGATCAAAGAAACGTCAAGCTTGATAAACCCCGATACTTGCTGCGACCTGCTCACCCTTCTCTCTCACTCTTCACGACTTTGAGCTGTAGTCGCTACACAGCAATACAGCCAACGATCGACCTGTTCTATTTCGACGATCTTCGGGCTCAGTTAACCCATCAAGGGCCGGGCTGAGTTCTCTTTCGACATCAACCGCCGAATCAACCCCCATTGCCTCCAAACGAGCTTGACAGAATGTGTCAGGCGTGCCATGAGAATGGCCCTGCAGTAAGTCTCCCTGTTGCTGACCGTGACCAAAATAATGACCATCCTCTCTGGCTCACAGTCCGTCTCCGGCGTGCCCATTGCCAGCTACCTTGCCAAAGCTCGTGCCAAACAGCCCTTTCGACTGCGCCTCTGTCATGAGCTCCAGGCCTCCATCTTCTTGGCCCTCAACCGCCATGGGGCTGCCCCGAACTTGACCTTGCGTGATAATCCTGCCCTTTGTCAGCTTCTGTGGGAAGATGTTGGGTTGGACTTTGCTTATCAGTATAGGATGAGAAACACAATCCTGGGTAAGCTTTCATACCCCCTACATATACCGTGTCCTGTCCTGACAGTCCTTGGTAGGCAAGTTGACCGACCGCGCGCAATCCCTTCTTGAAGAAGCTCGGAAATGGGGAGCCTTTATCCAGGTCGGAGACACCCGCTGTCTCTGGGATAACGAGATCGTCGCAGAGCACTTTTCTTCGCAGGAGAAAGTCCTGCAATGGATCAAGACAAAGCGAGAGGAGGCAGCCAAGGTCGCCCGGGAGAGAGAGGCCAAGGAGCCAGAGCCTGGTACACCCTCACGACCGAACCGAGCGAGCGGAGCAGCTTTTTCCCGACAGACACCTCCACGAGCTTCTCAGCGTGGGCTGCGACCCCCCCAGACCCCCTCGAGGACCTCCATCCGGAGAAGAGGGCCTGGAGCCCAAACTCCAACGTCCAGCCGAAACATGGGCATGACCGGGCAGAGGCTTTCACGCAGCCAGGATACTCCGAGGACCCGACGACACACATTTTCAGGAACCATCTTCGACGTGCCTCCGCCAAAGATGGGTCCACTGGAGGAACTTGCTCAAAGTGTCGAGCGTATGGGGCTCGATGATTCTCCGCTGGTCAACACTTCTATGCGTCAATCTTCTGGAAATGACGCTCAACCGACCAACTTGATCGATACTCTGTCAGCACCCCAGCCAGCCTCTCATCGAGATGGTCGGCTGAGATCTCCCATCCATCTACCGACTCCCACTTCTACAACCAACGTGGGCTCGGAAGCTCAGAGTCCTGTTGCGAATTGGTTCAAGGTTGGTCAAGACACTGGCCAGTTCCCATCCAAGAAGCCTACCCGCTCTCATAGAAGATCGTCCTCGGCGCTTCCAGGAACCGGCAACCAACGGTCTGGTGGGCCTCAACCCATGCGCCTTGACCTTGCTCGCCGGCGAGAACCCCCTTGAAGCGACGAGGTACTGCTACGAGGTATGAGACTGGGACCTCGACTCCAATCCCAAAGCGCCGAAAGACGGTGTCCTTTGCGGATCAGAAGGCTGACCAGACGATGCATTAACTGGGCGTGGTTGGACTGGTCGTGGTTGGAATTTGAAGCTAATGTCCAGGTCTGAGAGATGGATATGGCAAAGGTGTAGAGGGGGAAACGCATGGTGTTGGTCTTTTCGGTATGTAATGCATGGTATGGGTTTCTCAGATAAGCTTTTGCGTAGCACTTGAAGAATATGCCCGTTTATTTCTTTCCCGTGTCGTGGATCTTTCACTCATCACAGCTCTGGATCAACCAGCAGTTGCATGGCAAGAAACGGCCCATCTCACCTCATACTCTGTCGTGAGGCCTGCCGACTTGGTTTGGGCGGCGAGGCAGTGACGTAAATGGGCGTCTGCGTTGCAAGACTCCCAATGACCATCAACGGTTCTGGGCAAGGGCAGACCGGATTTTATTCAAGGCGAGCCAACGAGTCTTTGTCCGACAAATGCGTCAGTTAAAAGAGGAAGAATTGTGGTTGTGGGTGGTCGGTACCTGGTCAAACAGTTGTAAACTCCATCTGGAATCTCGCCTTGGGCCAACACACCCCAAGTCCCTGCTTCTACAGCTTCTCCCACATCCAGGTATCAAGATGAGTTAGGTTGCCCCAAGACCAATACAGCAGCTGAAAGACCTCAGATGGGTCCGGTACAAACAGTTCAAAGGTATCATGCTCCACCTCGTCTCCGCCAGATGCCTCGTCCCATTCTTGCAGGCTAGCTAATACATCTTGGTGGCTCAGGTGATCTGGGTAGTGCTCCTTCATCAACAGCCCCTCACACTCCCGCAAGGCGCGTGTCCGCCCCATGGAAGCTCTCTCACGTCTCTTCCTCTCCACCACCCACCCGCCAGTCTTCAACCTCGCTGAAGGGTCCTTGAGATTAGGCGGCTTGATGGACTTTAGCAGCTGGCTCACGGTCTTCTGCACTGCTCTTTCGCACGCCAGCACTTTCTGCGTTTGGGACTGCAAGAGGAGTGCCTCCCCGAGAACCCTGCTCACGTTGGATGTTGCCTGGCAGAGCACGTTGGTGTTGATAGTTGGGAGGCTGGGCTTGGCCGGAATCCGTCGTAGTGAGTTCCAGGCAACCGATAGGAAGTTTGCGGGCTTGGCCGCTTTGGAAGCCGAGACAGCCTTCTCGTTCGCCTTGACAGAAATGGTGGTGAGATTCTTAAGCCAAACATCAAGGCTCACCAGAGTGTGCTCCAGTCGGCGCATGGAATCCATCGTCGACATGATCAGCTCGCCATTGTTTGCCACACTGTTTAGAGAGAGTGGTCCTTTGAGTAGAAGATTCAAGTTTCGCATCGCCTTAGACTCGTTCAAGTGCGCTGCAGGCATCGTGGAAAGATCGCAGCGCCGTGTTTTGTTTTGTGCTTTTGTAAGTGGCTCTTCTGGACCCCTTGTCGGAGGCCCTCCACTCTGAATTCTTCGGTCAACGGGAATGGTTGGCCGAGGCATCTTGCTCAGCTTTGCCTCATGGGCCGTGAGGATGTCTTCACGGACAAACCTGGCGAGCCACTCAAGAAGAAGGATGGTATCGTCGGCGCTGTAGTGACGGGCTTTGATGGAAAGCCTAGTGAGGGCGAAAATGGCATCCCGAGCGGCGGTGGCGGTGCGAGAACAAAAGTTGAACACGTTAACGTCTTGTGAAGTATCTCGAGGCTCGGTTATGTCTCGTTCGTCGGTCGGCCACAAGAGCCAGTCAAGCTCTAACTGGTGGAGGCCACTGTCGCTAGATGGGTTCCAGATGACGCCATGCTCGGTGATGTTGTGGCAGACTTGGTCAACGAGGTTAGGGATGTCGGATAGCTGAGATGAATGGGTCCATAGGGCGAAACGCAGAAAGTTTGCGGCATACGAGTCGAGCATGACAAGGACATCGACGTAGACACCCAGTGGCTCATGGTACATGTCTGTCGTTGCGGTGCTTTGGAGGCTGCCGAGATGGCTGATTGAGTGAGAAGTGAAGTAAAAGAAGCAAAGCCCAACAGAGGTTGACGCAAGAGCCAAGTAAGCTAGCAAGAACCACCATCGCGGCCTGGGGTGTCTGGCACGACGTCGCTTTTCAGGCCCTTCTGGGGCGACAAGCTCGCCTGAGGCTTGCGAGGATGAAGCTGGCGGTTCCTCAGCGTGGGATGCCATCTTTTGGGCGATGTCGATCAGCGGCGTGGGCGTTAGTTGAGTGAGAAATGAGTTGAGCGTTGCACAGAAGTTAAAGCGATTGAAAACTCAACAGAAGCTTTAGCAACTCGTGAAACTCTTGAAGATGAAAGAAGAGAAAAGAGGAGAAGAGACGAAGCCGAAGGAGAACAAAGACAATGAGCTTGAGCTTGGTGTTGGCTTGTAAGTTGTAATGCATGGGGCTCGGCTGTAGAGCCACTCTGTGGCTGTGTGGCTGTGTGGCTGTGTGGCTAGGGAAGCTATGGGTATCAATTAAAGAGCGTTATGAAGGTGCTGTAATATGGAGGCGAGAGCGCTATAAGTTAGTGGACATGTTGTTCTATGTTAGTGGTTGGTGCGCTATAAATTAGTGACTGATGTGCTTGAAATATATATAGTGGATGATGCGCTAGAGGGTGCCCGGTGCGCTGTATTTTTTATGAGGAAGGCATGGATGCTATAGCTTAGTGGGTAGGGCGTTGAAAACTAGTGGTGTCTGCGCTGTAGCTTAGTGGGTAGTGCCCTATGGTAATTCTTTTGATGCTCTAAGTTATAGTGGGTGAGAATGTGATCACATCCATCCATTTATTATGGAAACATACAGAAGTTCCATCAAAAATGGTTATTTATTCTGTGACGATATGATCATGATTGGGGTCATCGTTCCTAGAGTTTCTTGTGATAATCACTGCAAACTTCCTCCTCTCTCATACCTCGTCAAGAACCACGTTAACTTCGCAATAAGGAACCACTACATGGCATGCAATATTATAATATTTGTACTAACTGCGCCATCAATCCATCCGCACCTGTTCCATGCCCTTGTCTAGATTCATCCAAAGAAAGGCAAGCAACTCAACAACCCCAATGTCCAAGGAAAGCTGTCCAAACCTATCCAAGACGGGGCATGTCTAATGTCATCTATCTTCCTCAGCCTCCTCAATGTAAAAGCGCTCCCACTCTGGACCAACCTTCAGCACAGTATTCCAGATAGACGAGTCCATGAGCAATCCCCGTGGCTCATTCTTCCGAGCCTCCTTGAGGACTGCGACAGCTTGGTTCGCATACTGAATCCTCATTGTCGCGGCGTATCGTGCAGCACAGATGTGCTGGTACTCACCCCGGGAATCGCCTTGGGTACCGGCAACACCCGCCAAAAACCAGTGTTTGAGCTCCGACTGGGCATACTGGAGAGACTGGGTGGCGATGCTCAGAGCCTCTTCGGACAGTGCTGGGTCGGGCCCGCAGGCCGAAAGCGCGGGACATAGGGCGTGCTCGTTGGTGTCTGGGTCGTCGTTGGACCCTTGGCTCTGGCGAGGGGGTTGCCGAGACCAGCTCCGTCGATTCACCGTGGGATCTATGACGGGGAAACTACTCTGCGTTGGAGTTGGAGTCAAGTCGTGGTCAGGCGGAGAAGGGAAAGCAGGCTCTGGCTCCGAGGTTGGGTCATCCCGAGGGGGCTCGGGCCACGTGCGAGGATCGTCGTATCGTGAAGGGGGAGTAGACGGAGGCGACATGATTCCCTCAATGATCCGCCGACTTTCAAGACAACGATGGGAACCCGTAACAATGCGAAGGTTCCTGTGATTCATCGGATGGGCTCTGTCTTTCTGGCTGACCTGAGGGGTGCTGATGGCCGCGGACATGAACGGAGGTTGAAGGCCACTCTGGGAACCCCCAGAGATGTGACGAGACTAAAACTGGTCTTGACGAGCCCCTGGCCCATCTTGTAGTCTGTGTCGGGAAACAGGATGGCGAGGCACGGGTGATCCATCTCGGTTTCGAGCTCGAGGAGGGGACTGGCTGTCGATGCGGATGGGATCCCAAAACGTGCTCAGCTGATCATCGTGGCTCGCTGCCATTGACCTGGCCCTTGGCCTGCCACGGCTGGCTTGAGCCAGGTTGTCAACAGAAGCCCGTACACGCTCGTCGCCATCCATACCGCCGCTTTCTTGGCTACGAGCCCGACCATGGCCGTCATGGCGATTGCTGTGGCGGCCTCGACCTCTCCCGACAGGGCTCGGAGTTGAAGCTCGTCGCCCAGGGACATCCTCTCGCAACTCTCCGTCCCAATCATCAGGCGCGCCCTGGTTCCCCGTCCACCCTGGAGCAAGCCAGTTGCGTGTGAAGGTTGGCCACCGCCAAATCTCAATCTGAGCCCCGGTTATCTGGTCACGGCCTCTTGTCTTGACAAGAAGGCCGCTCTTGCGGAGCTTCTCCGTGACAAGGTAGACCAGGGCTGACGTGACGCGCCGCCCGACAACCCGCTTGTAGTACTCTGGTCGTGCAGAGATGCCGAGTTTGGTGTAAAGCTCATCGGCGCCGCAATCGACCATGTTGGGCTTCGTTATCTGATATCGAGCGGCATGTTGGAGGAAGAGGACGCGGTCGTCGACGGGCCAGTTGATCTTGGTCGAGGTGTTGTTGGCCAGTGACTCGATGGGGTAGCCACGAAAGGTCTGGGTTAGTGTAAGCAAGACAGTGGCTTTTGGGCCAAGGGAAAAAGTAGAGAGGCTTCCTCACCTCACTGTCATTGTAAGGCATTGCACTGCCGCGTTGGAGCTTCAAGGAGGGGTTGTGAGAGACCGACGCGGCGGCGGGCGAGTGTTGTAGGTACAGCAACGAAAAAGACAACTCTTGGGTCAGCTCTGAGTTTCAAGAGAATCAGCAAGTATGTATGTTGGAGATGTGAGTCTGGAGCAATGGGAAACTTGGAATGTCGGTGAAAGTTCTAATGTTGAAGTGGTCCATGGCCATGTGGTGGTGAGAACAAAGAAGAGGAATGCGCTGAGTAATCAGAGCAGCCAGAGAACACACCTTTGCCTGAGAAGTGAGGCAATGATTGTCTTCTTTTTCAGATATTGTTAACTGGTGTACTTAAGGCCGGAGATTTCACCATGTCGGTATCTGACTGCCTCATCTGCCCTTCTCCCAGAGTCAGTTGGTGGCACGACGCAGCAACCATCTACAGCCTAACTTCACTTTTACTTGACACCTTTTTCCACTTGCTCGTCATGTCATATCAGATGCAGGCTCAACGCGACCAGAACTCCAAAGCTGCTCCGCCCACGGGCAGCACAACATCGTCAACCCACCGAGTGCGGGCCATACTAGAAGATGGCCGCGACGCCAGCCAGCTCAGCCCCAAGTCTCGGCAGTACCTCCTCAACTGGGAGAAGCGTCATCGTGCGAAGACGGTGAGCGATCTCTCACAGGTTCCGACAGAGGACATCCGGTCCACGGCAAGCCAGATGGAGCCAGAGCTTGTGTCCCGCAAGGAGCAGCAGCTTCTTGATGAGATCGAGGCCAACCCCGAGATGCAGGCATCTTTCTTGCTGTTCAAGCAGACAAGTGGTCAAAATGGAAAAGGTAAGAGAACTCGCGACTGGGTGGAGGCTGATATATTGACGATCCGTACAGTTCAACCCGAGCATGCCGCAGCAAGCTCACACAGGCAGGTCGGCCAGGCGCATGACCGTGGTCAAGCTTTGAGGGCTCAGCAACTCAAGGACGCCAACGATCATGACATCCGCCAGATGGAAGAGGCACTGGAGCAGAGAGTGCAACACTTCAAGCAGGCACTGGCCTGGGACATTGAAGTTCATCGACTGAATGCCAAGATTCAGAGTCGCCGTCTTGAGGCTGTGGCTGCGCGTGAGAGTCAGTAAGCGAAGCTTGCCGGTTGCTGGATGAAGGGGCGTGAACGTTTGTGGCGATCGTGGAGGTTGGCGGGAGGTGGTGCAGGGGTATGGGCAACTGATTCTGTAACATGGCCATCAATTTCTAGAATGTAGATGCCCCTTTGAAAACATTGATGGAGTCAATCCTTCCACAATGCCCTACAGTCGCAATCAAAAAGAACACATTTCTAACATAATAACAGCATTAAAACCCAATACCGTAAAACAACGTGATCTCTTCTCGCTGGTGCGTCGCTACTCTCATCTCTTAATTCTGATCTTGTACATGTGGCCACATCCAATCATGGAATCGTGTCCCAACTTCTTAAAAAGTGATCAGAGGCGACACACTCTGACATTCACCCTATACCGTTGTCTCACCCCCACTCTTGTCAAGACGGGGACGGCGGCTCTCACCCTATTGGCTAGCTGTCTGGAGGGCTAATCTCCCCAAACGAAGCTAACTGTCAGGCCCCCCCCGGTCTGGAACACGTCAACGGTCACTGCCAAGCCCTCTGACACCGCGGCTGAGTGGTCTCGCGGCAAATGGCGCTTATTGCTTATTTGAACGTCATGCGTGGCTGGCTGAAGCCCATCCGTCTGCTGCAGGTATCAATCAAACTGTAGCCAGGCCCAGGGAAGATCTGATATGCCAACTCTTTTGGGAACATGCTCTCCTTTCCCTAGCGTCAGCCACAGACGCACTCAATAGGAACAATAGGAAGCTGCAGAGAGATGAGTCAGGGGCTGAGGGCTTGCTCTTGCCTGGCAGAATCTGTTTGATCCCAAGCAAGAAGTACGTACTGTCTAGAGATACCGGTCACAGACCGCTCATTCAACTCCTTTGTGGTTCCCCCAGCCTCCCAGTCTGTGTAGAAGTCACGCGTGAGGGCCTCCAGAGACACTCCTTTGGACAGCCACTTGCAGGCCACTCATTTCGACCCCCCAGCCCGCTTGCAGAAGCATGAGGCCTCTGGAGGTAATCCTTTGGACGGCCATTCGCACACCGCCAGTTTGGCCTCTTTGTGCTTCTCCCAGCCTCCTAGCCTGCCTACAGAGGTCACGCATGACGCACTCTGGAAATCCTTTTTTGGACTCTTTGTTGCTCTGATTTCCAACCTCTCAAGCGGCCAGCGACAGCGAGAGATTGACCTGGCCCCATATTTCAGGTTGCCAGGCCGTTCGCGTCCTCCCCAGCCCCCCCCCTGCTTCTTCGCATTAAGGTGAGCGTTTCCCGTTGTGTCTAGGTGAACCTTTCACCGTTGACTCCCTCATTCATCACGCCCAGAGTCCTTTCGTGTCGCTCATCACCAGTTCGCTTTTTGCTCTGTGAGAACATCTTGTAACGAGTAATCAATCCCTGATCTCTGACGTCTCGCCCAAAGTGTTACGTCAAACATCGACTGCCTCACCCCCTCTCCACGTGGCGTCCATCTGAGTCCTGAAAGATGTGCGAGCACTGCGACAATAATGGCACAGATGTACGTACGCCCTTTCCGGGCCATCACAGCCTGCCACTAACATTTACCCAGTCCATCTGTGGAGTCAAAATCACCGAGTACGTTCGCGCCGCCCGCGATGGAGAGACACTCGCTCTGAAGCTGTGCCTGGAGCTTCAGGCAGTTGTTTTGTTCCTACTCCATGAGCATAACCAGACGCCCGATGGTTGGTGTGACAGCTGGAACCGTGTCTGCGACTCAATTTGGGTAAAGTCTGGGCTGAACTTTGACTTTCCCGAGCCCGCTGCGACTCATTTGTTGGGTACGTCTTTTCTGCTGTTGTGCTTGTTTCATATCACTTGCTAATACCTCCATCTCGGTGTAGATGCCTTCATCGAGACAACAGGGACCCTTCTCTTTGACGCTGCAGACCGAGGCGCGTTTGTCCAAGTACAAAATGGGCCCCAGGTGCGCTACCTCTGGGACAACAAGATTGTGGCTCGACACTTTGGGAGTCCCGATAGTGTCCGCGACTGGATTGTTAGCAAGACAAGCCCGACCACTCCGAAGAGTATCTTGAAGCGGACTAGCCAGGACGCTCCTGGATCAGCTCACGGTGGGCGGCATGGCCACCAACTCCAGCAGTCTTTGATCAACCGTGTTGGTGCGACAGAGGCTTCCCATGATCTTGGTATTCAGGATCCAAAGCACTTGCTGGCTTCATCCACAGGGAATAGCTTCAGCCATCGTGATCGGGCTCAGACAGCTCCGTCCACACCGGCTGGCCATATATCGGCATCAAGTCCCAGTATTCAGAGACGCAACCACCGTGCGGCACACAGTCTATCAGGTGGGCTCTCATCATCCATTTACGCCCCATTGCCCTCTTTCCACCTTCGACATGGATCGCACAGCAGGAGCACCTCGGCGGCTGAGGACTTTTTGGTCGGGAAGCAGATGCTAGAGGAAGAGATTGGACGCGAGGGAAGGGGATTTGGAACGCCCTCTACTTCGTCCGCATCCTCGTTTATGGCAGATCTTCCACCTTGGCCAGGAATCACGCCGTCAGCTTCCAGGATGCTGAAGGAGACCAGAGCTGCCAGCGGGGGCCTGGAACAGTCGTCCTCGGAGAGTCGAGGCTCACACACTACATTTCAGGCACCCCCGACATCAAACTCGACCCACGACGCCCCCTCCCCTTCAGCAGGCCCATCGTCCCCATTGGTCTGGCGAACGCAGCTCTCTCCAGGTTTGATGCGGCAGACCCCACGCTCTGTTGACTCAGGGGCTACCCACACTCTCTCAAGCCCCGCTGGTCAGGTCATCCATGAGCCATCTGGTGCTCAGTCTGGGGAGCACCATCCACTCCAAGCCATTCCAGAGGTCATCAAGTTACAGCAGCATCCTCCCGGTGCACAGCCTCGGAATTGTTCTCAGTCGGACCAGGTCCCCCAGATCTCACAGCCCGGGCCTGAGCATTCATTCACAGCACCGAGCGCCCCTCGATCTGGATCTGCAGCTGCGTTTGTGCAGCTACCCACACAGAACGCTGTTACCCCTGGTATGGCAGTCTCAAACTCCTCGTCTGTTGCGAAGCTCAGCCGCTCTGCCCACATTGCTCCAGATGCCACTAGTAGTGTATCTGCTCATGACATGCTTTACACCCGCAACAAGCTTGATGTCGTCTCCAACCCAAATCGTCCGTCCAGAGCCAGCACACCGACAACCGTCGTCTGCAGCCAGAGCACTCCGCATGCCAAGAGTCAGGTTACCGCCAAGGAGGAACCAACGGAACAGGCTCTCAACTCTGCGGTTGGGGCATTGAGACTGGATTCAGCTCCGGCTCTAGATCTTGCGTCAACCAACTTTCAGGAGGAGCAGAGAGTGAAGCAGAGGCCTATCATGGTGCCAGCGCCTCGGGCTCTCACAACCACCCCCCTGGAGGACATGAACGTACAAGTCCCCATTCAGCGCGATGATGGAGCTTTGCCCAAGAGCGGCGTCCAACTTTCCGTAGAACTTGTTACCTGGCTTGAAAACTACGTGCCATCTTCCTCTACCGCCAACGAAGCGCAGCTCCTTGCTTGGCGGGATGAGCTTTGCCGCGCCAACGCAAGAGTTCAGCATGAGCTAGACAGGTGGATGCGAGGGGGCCGGAATGTCTTGCCCCATCACACGGATGGGTAGGTGAGAGGCCCGGGAATGCCTGGGCCGCGGGTCGAAGTAAGTGCAGCGAGTCCCGAGATGGAATGGTGTAGGGATGAGACCATTGGCGCCAGGGGATGGGTGGATGGTGAGAAAGTTGTGAGTCCAACGGTCTGTTTCAATAAACAACTTTGGATGGTCGGGCAGATTATCAACTTGTGAAATAGTGCGAATTGAAAATGAACATGACGCAAAAGGTGGCCAGAGAGTTGTTAAAAATGAGGCGTGGCAGTTTCTCAACAAGTTTATTCTGTACTTTCGCTACTCGGCCTTTCAGAACGTCCCTTTCATCTCTCTTGCATGTATTGATTTGCACTCAGCTCTGCCAGAGACACAACGGTCGCCAGTGGAAGGTGGGCGTCAAATCGTGAGAGTGAGAAATGGAAGGCCAACCCGTGGACTCTTGATGACGCAGGATGTTTCGACCCTGCCAAGCGTGACATGGTGCCCTGACTCTGGAACCGGCAACGCCGTTGCAGCTTCAAGAGTCAAAATGTTTGCTACAAAGGATCTCATTTCTGGTCACTCTACTGAGACATCAGGGGGCATCCCTGATTTCTCCATGCTCAAACACAATGAGTCACAAGGGTAGAAAGAATCGCTGTGAGTGGCGCAGAGGGACTACACGTAAGGTGAATGAGTACAATTAGAGATTCTGATACAGGACGCATGGCCACGGACAAAGACCAAAGACACGGCCACAAGGAAGCCATACGTCAGCATGGAGAAACAGGTGGCTGAATGGGTGACTAAGAGCCGACGCGGGTACAAAAGGGGGGCGTTTCTGCCACGGAATCTGTTCTCCTCTTCAAACTCGTATTATTCCCTAGACCCCCCAACCACCACGAAATAGACCACCATCCAAACACACCGGTCAGACCTACTGAAGAATTTCAACATGCCTGACGAGAAGGTCGACCCATACATGAGGGGTCGGCAGCTGAGGCGCATTTACGAAAAGTACAAAGACCAAAACGGCGGCAAGACCGTCAAAAGCATCAACGCCACCGATCTTGCCTTGATGGAGTACTGCCCCTTGTCTGAGAGTACTAAAGATGAAAAGAGATTCGTGACGGAATGGGCCACGAATGCTAGGTCATTAGGCGGGGCGCTTGGTGCTTGGAGGAAGAGTATGAGAGAGTTGGGCTACGTTGCCAGGCCGATGGAGGATGATGCTGTACCAGCCAGCAAAGCCAAGCAGGACCAGGACAAGGACAAGGGCAAGAGCAAGGACGTGGAGAGTCTGGAACCTGTCCAAGAGCAGAATGAGCCCAACTCGGCCGTGCCGGATTCCCCTCGGGTTTCCGCAAACATGTCACTTGTTCGCCCGCCGCCTGCTGTCAACCCCCCAGTCACTGAGGACGTGGTGGCAGAGAAGCTCGACCATTCCCAGGTTCAGCTCAGTCCAGATCGGCGCCCAGATCCACCGGCACTCACTGAGAGTCGGCTGCAAGTCTCGCATGCCAACGCGGCTATATATCTTCCGTCGGCTCCTACCCCCGAGTCGAGGACCATGACCATCACCCCACAACAACGCCCATCAAGCTCCGCACAGCCGCCAGCATCCGTGTTGAGAGACCTTGCACAGCTCAGCCTCAAGCCAGAGGTCGAGGCCACCGTTGGGGACACAGATTCTTCGCCACCCAATGTACAACGTTGCAAGCATCGGACGGAACATTGTTCGTGATATCCAAGGCTACGTGGAACAGGTCATCCCTCGCAGAAATGTTGGCTCTTCTCATCCCGTGGAAGCTGGCGAGATGGTGTATCCCGACCAGGTATCCAGAGCAAGTTCTACGGCCCATGGTCTCTCTCAGCGTGAGGAGGATGTTGATCCAGCCCTCACCACCGAGGACGGGGCCATTTTTACAGTAGAAGATGGAGATCTGTACCGATTCTATCATGCACTTCGTCACGGTATTGTTCCCAGGCCAGGGCCAACAAGCTGAAGCAATGGTCATAGGACTACAGGGCGGGATTGTTGGGGTTCGGGAGGATTGGAGGACGGATGGATGGGAAATAGATCACGGATGTACAGGTACAAGTAATGGCATAATTTAGCAGACTGTATGAAGCTTTTTTGGTACCTGATGGCCTGATGAGTCAAATGCCCCTTGACGCTGTTCAAATGTTCCTACAGACTAAAGCCTGCCTCGTGGCCGGAAAGCCCATCGGCAGTGGTGCTAGCCTCGGGTCATGTTACTGTGAATCAGTGTTCTCGTGAGGCTAAAGGCCGCAGGAAACCAAGAAGCCTCCTTGAGACCCAGATGGTTGGATACAACCATCAATAAAACACGCCCAGTGCCTTTGTTGTGATTCCACTGCAAGTGAGGGTACGCGGACTCTCATGTGAGATACTGATGAGCTGCACTGGGAGGACGGACAAGAAGACTCAGAAATGTTGTTTCAGCGAGAGAGTCTAGCAAGACGACCGGTATCAATACAAAGCAGTACAAATAAGAAACAGGGTATGAAAAGAAGAAGGCCGATGGGTACTCGACGCTTGATTGTGCAACGAGATGACAACAAACCAACAGGTCCAGCGAGGTAAGAAAAGCTATTCACGGCCCAAACAAACGACTGCCCCAACTTCACTCCTCTACACACTCTGGCAACCCCTTGAAGGGGCTCACATGCTTGTCAACCTCGGCGTGGTCATCCTCAAAGTAACGGTCTGGATCCCCCCAGAACTTCCAGTCTGCCCTATCGCCGATAAAGAGAGTGGCCAAGTGGAGAGCAGTCTCCTTGTTGTAATGTTCAACGCCAGCCCAAGCCTCACGTGTGATGCGATCAATGGTGTGTGTGGACACCTGGGCCTTCCAGTCAGGAATCCAGCGAATCCGAGAACAGTCAATCTCGTCTTCAAGGAGCATTCTTCTTACATGATCATAGTGAAGAAGGGTATCCTTGCAGAATCGGCGGCGTCCAGGACAAATGACTCGCTTCAAAACAATACGGATCGTGTCTTGGGAGCCGACACAAGCCTCATGAAAGGCTCCAAGTCCATCAGATTCGGTAGGGCACCCTGGCAGTGGTAGTTAGCACGAGAAGATGGTGAAAAGTCACCGTGAGCTTACCACAAATCAGTCCAATCACCCACTTCAAGGGTTTAATCTTGATCTTCAAGAAATCAAACTTGGTGGGCGTGAAAGCGTATACCATGTCAAGGAAAGTATCAAGCGAAAGTTGACTTTCCTCGCGAAGAAACTTGTTGCATGATTCTAAGATCCGTTCCCACCCAGCAATAGCTTCTGGGCTAGGGCTCATCCAGCTGGGCTCATCGTCGGATGACGAGTCAGAGCTTGATAGATCTCCTATCAGAGTGTCTTGGAGGTCGTCGTGGTCTGCTCGCTGTCTGGGGAGAGCTAGCTCTTGGTCTGACCCCTCAGAGTTGAGGATCACCATCTCTGAATCACTGATCTCGTCTTTGAGGATGTGAGCACCTGGGAAACTGGAACCAATTGGGTGAGACTCACCTTTGAAGAAACTCGACACCCTCGTGCTCATGATTGAATCTCCATCACCCGTGACTCCTTGGCAAACTTCCTCGCCTTCGTCCGAATCGACATCGTTTTCAGTACAGAGGAACATGTCAAGGATGCCGTGGTGAGTGTCATCCTCTTCAGTAGCAAAGAGGCGTCGAGAAGAGCCACCGGGCAGTGGAAACAGGTGACGGGCGACTCGTTTCGGTTCAGGTAGGCCTCCCTCTGAGTCGGAGCTGCTGTGTTTCCGAACTCTTTTTCCTGTGGGGAGCGGCGAGTCTAGGGTGAGCTTTGCAAGGCTCTCCATGTTCAGAGGCACGTCATCAAGATGCGAGAAAGGGTCAGAGGGAGACGAGGGAGGTTAGGCCGCGTGATGACTGGAGGGCAAGCGGCGTGAGGGAAGGCTTGATAGGGAGAGGAAACAGGAAGGGGAAGGGCGGTACAGGAGGGAAATTATGAGCCTGGGCTTACTGGCCAGGCCAAGGGCCAAAGCATGCCTCAGGCAGGCGATAGCCACTTTGAAGGTCCTCGCAAACAAGCAGTCCATGACAATACCTAATTCATTGGGAGGTGGCGAGAAATATTGGACCTAAAAAGCAAGTTCAATAGTTACTGTAGCAGGTCAATAGGGAATATTGAACAGGCTGGTCCATGATGCAATTGCCGAGTGATGAAGATGGTAGGCCACATAAAAACTTACAGTGGGTGATGCCCTATAACGAGTCTTTTTATGCGCTAGGTTATAGTGGTCTAGCCGCTATAGTATAGCGCGGGAAAATGTCAAGGGCGTCGGGCGAGATCGATTTTTGAGAGTTCTGAGGAGGGACATGCTGGCGCATAAAATTAGCTTGGCCAGCAGCGTCTCGTACCAAAATCCCGTCCTGTGCATGTGTGATTGGAATTGAATTAGGCCTTCAAACCGCGTTTACTTTGAACCCCGATTTCCAGTATCATCATCGTTGAATTGACCTCAAAGAGCAAGTCCGCAATGCGCGGGACTTCATGGCGAGATTGATACCCGACCTCATAGCAATGTTCATTATGCGCAAGTATGCACTTGCGACAACTTATGCTGACGTTGGCTGGGAGCAGTGCTGGACTGAGCCTGGCGTGTCTGAGCAGGAGGGCCAGGCAGCCTTGCGTACGCCTCAATAGCAGAACAATAGCAAGTATGATTAAAGGGAATGGCCGTGACACATTTATTTGATAATGCGACCGCCATGGGAACCACCTGTCACATTGCGCCTTGGCTTTTGCTCGTCAGGGGAGACACCAAGGAGATTGCTTCGTCACAGGATCTAAATGCTCAACTGTCCGTTTCGTGTGACCCATCTAATGCTGTAAGGCGGCATGAGTTAATCCGATGGTGAGGCATGTACGGATAGGTATGCATGAGACCACGAGGCAGACATTGCTTCCAAGATCAGCTTCCATCTCCTTGGAAGTGGGATGTACGGATTGGCGATATTCCGAACAAAAGAATCGGAAGGTTGAAAGCAGTCAAGCTTGGTCAAACAAGGTTGGTTTGTCGACAACGAGAAGTCCAGACTATTCCTAACATGGGATAACAACAAATCAGACAAATATTCTACCTCCTTCAATCCCCTCGAGATGCCATGCACAGCCCAATGCCCTTCCCCATGCTTGCCCCCTCGACAGACCCTTTCCACGCCGCGACTAGATGCCTTACCAACGACACAGCCCTTTGAGGCTATTCAGTCTCTTCTCCGAGTTCATCGACCAGCCGGCACGATCCAGGGCCGGGACAAAGACTTTGGCGTAGTGGGCGCGTGATTCGTCTTCCAGAAGGAAAGTGACGATCTGACTCATGATATGAGCTCTGGCCTCCTCATCACTCTGTGCTCCATGGGGAATGTTCTGACCTGGCTCGCCGTAGCCGGAACGCTTTCGTCGCTTTTCCGCCATCTCAATCAGCGGCTGGCCTTTCTCCTGGAACGAATCGATGATGGCAGAGCGAAGGGCTCTGTGCTGTGGCGAGCCTTTTGTGGCCGAACTCGAGGGAGGATGAAAGGGGGAGGCCTTTGCATTGAGGTCCAGAAAACTGTGCATCGGCTCAGGTCCTGAGTCGGTCTGGTAATCTAGAAGGTAGCGATGAATGACACAGGCACGGAATTGCCACGGTGGCAACGGGGGAAGATCGACTACTCCAGCCTGCAAAACACCTCGTCAGCAGGGGGATGGCACTAGCCTTGAAGGAATACTTGCCTGCGCAGTGGTCGAAGGGGTCTTTTGCCCAGAGAAGCATTGAATGAGGCAAGCGAGAATGGTAATAACAAGGACGGCCGTGATGGAGATCAACTTGGCTTGACTTGGGCTTGATGGGGATGGGGCGTCCATCTTTATCAAGGCCCTGCCAGAGGGGAGGAGAGTGTAAGTTGGTGAGTGTTTGGTATGCTCTGCCAAAGGAACGGAGTACGACAGATAAGCGCCTGGATATTGGCACAAAATAGGAGGGTGAAGAGCTGAATGCGAGTAAGGCAAAAACAGAGGATGGAGAAACCATAAGTACCAAAGACCAAAGACCAAGCCAGGAAACGGGCAGACAGAAGAATCGGTAGCCTGTTGGTTCCACGATGGCATCTAAAGTTAGAAACATGAGTCACTCTATTCAGGTGCGGTGAGGCTATAAGAACAATAGGATCTGATGCAGTGGCTGGTTTTAAGCTTGGCGCAATCTCTTGCAAGTGAATCCTAATAGCAGGGTTCATCAAATTGGCTAAATTTAGAAATATCAGACGCTCTATTCAGGCGCGGTGAGGCTGAAAGAACAATAGATCCTCAAACAGTGGCTGGTTTCAAGCCCCAGTGCATTCTTGTTTCTAGAATTCTCCATGGGAGGACTCATGACGTTGTCTAGATTTAGAAACACGAACCACCCTATTCAGGTTCGGTGAGGCTTTCAGAACATGGGGGATCCAAAGCAGTTACTGGCTGCCTTCGGACACAATGTGATCTCTCATATTCCAACTCTAGGTGAGTCAACGTATTGGTGTTTCAGCAAGTTTGAGAATTCTGCCCCTCAGGTTCCTCACTCTTTTTGTTGCCTTTATGTGAGCACGTGGGCATAAGTATCCCCTACACAGCCGCCACCCTCACCGTCAAGCCCAACATCTCTGTTATTACAGCACCCGCATTTTGCACTCATTTGTCCGCTCATTTGTCCACTTGACCGCATTTCTCGTTTTTTTACACACTCTCTTTTGTTTTCCTTTGGACTCGAACCTACTCTACATCATCTTTTTTTCACAGGCAGGCTCCTGTGGCCCTTCCGAGTCGTGTTTCCGGCGCTGCTTAACCCCCCGCCTACCGTTCAGATTGAGACACTGGTTCTGACATTTGCTCTTGGTTTCTACACCTCCACTCCTTCTCTTTGAACAACTTCCCTTCTGAAGTTGGACAATGGACTCCAACGGCAACCAGTGGGACAACCCACAGCCCAGTGCCTCCCGAGGTCAAAGGAAGCCAACTCCATCCTCGCCTTCAGTATTCTACAACGGGGATGAACTGGACGACGAAATCTTGAACCGAATCCGGGAAAAAGCCTACAAAAAAAGCACATCGTCCTGTTCGGCCTCGACTTTCGCGTCACAACAACCCGGCAACGAGGAGACTGGTAAGGGCATCCCTCACCGACGTGGGGAACAGATTTCCCCGATGCCACCCTTGCCAGAAGGCCATGGAACCAAGATCACCAACGAACATCTCGACCGAATCCGCCGAATGGCTTATGCCGCGGGCAAAGGCACATCGGCCTCTTCCTCCACCTCGGGCGAGTCCGTGTTCTCTTCCCTTTCCGACGCGTCTTCTCAGGACTCACAAGTCCCCCCTCCTCGACCTACGGACGCTAGAGCCTCCGATAAATATCCAAGCACCTCAACTCCGGCCCACGCAAAGTCGCAAGATGAAGTTGAGGGACAGAATCAGCCACTGGACCAATCGAGAGGCCGTAGAGAAGCCTCAGCATCCCAAGCTCACGCCAAACAGGGCAGCCAGATTCCCCTTCACGAACCATCCAAGTCATTGCGTCCTCCCAGTCCAAAACCCATTCCACAGCGTGGGCAGCAAGGCCAACCCCCAAGTAAGGAGACCCAAGGGACAGGACCCAGAGTGCCAAGCAGCCATTCTGGAACGGAAGACTCGGGAAAGCCGTCCAATCCGCCCCAAGACTCGTCCCCATCGACAGCCAACCACGCTCCCAGTAACCAGCAAGCTGGCACCCCCGGGGGCATCAAAATAAAGCGACTGCCTCCTTTGTCAAGCCCAAACTCGCCACCGTTATCTCAACCCCATCATACCCGAGGATATCACCAAGAGCCAAGTGAGACCACTGGCAAAGATTCTCGTTCCAAGCCAAAGACGAGGACCGTCCCCGAAGCGGGCAGCAAGAAAAAGGCCTCTCCCAATCCTCCACAGCCTGACAGGTTCAATGGCTCCCAAGCTCGGGACGGCAGTCACAAGGCCAAGGCTAGCCAGCATCAGGCTTCCTTCAAACCAGCTGTCACCGGGATGTTTCAATCCTTCGTATCGGCTGTGACGGCCCCCTTCAGGTGGCTTGCATCACTTGCCCCCTTGTTGCTTGCTTTCGGATGGGCTATAGCCCAAAATCTCCCTAGCTTACTGCGGTGCGCTCAGATGATACTGAGCTTGATCGCTGCGAAGTTTGGGAAAGGGACCCTCATCGAGGCCAAAGATTGGGTGTCAGGTACAGCAGGGACGATTGCTGGCTACGCAAGTTCCGGAGGGGCCTATGTCACAGATGCCTTCGGGTGGTATAGGGATATCCCCTATGAGAGGTTGCCGCCCGTACTGCCTTTGGTGATTCACATTGAAGTGTGGGAACCTGGACTCAACTTAGCTGTCCGCGATGTTGACAGTCTTCAAACCTTGATCCCTGACCTCGACTTGGGCGATGTTGCCAGGAAGAAGAACCAGATGCCCATTGACAAGGCCAAGATGCTCAAGGAGCTGAATTCTTTGTTTGTCTCTGAGTTGACCAGGTCCCTTGGGCCCTCGAGAATCGTCATGACAGAGTTGCTCTGGAAGATTCAACACCACCCAGTCAAGAATCTCTTGGACTCTGATATGAAGGCAAGTACATCATCACCAGAGTCAGTAAAGACATGATATTGACCATTTCCGTAGGAGCCCGAGACAAGTTGGCTCACCAACTGGTGGAAACCAAAGAGCCGGGCGCGCGCTGAGCTTGAGAATCGGCTGAACTCGGCACTCGGGGCGTTCAAGACGAGTCTCCACGATCGCTCAAGCCTGATCAGTAAAGTGTATGGCCAACTGGCGTCGGACTCTATCCTCGACGCTGAGAAAGTTGTTTGCGGCATGGCCAATAAGCTGAAGGGCCAATACGACTTCATGGTCCAGAATGCGACTGAGAGTGGCGATGACACATTTCGGCTGTGGTTGTCAACCCATGATTCGCAGAACATGGCGGGTGGCCAAGCCACTGATGAAGATCAAATCGGCTCCTCCAAAGCGCTGGCAGGGATCTCCAACACGTATTCTAACCTGAAAGCAGTCTGCGAGACAATCAGTCTTGATGAGGAACTTTTCATGGAGGCGTCCAAGCAGATGGCAGATGAGATCAAATTTCTCAAGAAGGCCACCAACAGTTTGGGAACGACCCTGAAGAACCTCGAAGGGTTTAGTGATGGGCAATTCAATGCCGACTACGCGGGCAGGGTTGAGACGAAGGTTCTTGTGGAGATGGTGGGAACATGGCTGGATATTACCAAAGCGTACTACGGAAAGGACAGTGAGGAGAGGTAGGGGTGTAGCGAAGGAAGATGATTGCAGGGATGGGAAAGCAAAGACTGGCAGGAGAGATTAGACAGTGTAAAGAATAATGGAATATATAGGTAATATGTATCTGGCTGCCGATTACGGGGATACTCCTGTCCTGGGATGATTTGAGTCGTCTTAGCATACTCTTTCGCGTTATTCCTCTGGTTAGAAAGACTGACTATGAAGGAAGCAAAGATAGGAGCGTTGAAGGGCGACTCTCTTCGTGTCAGCAGCCCACACGGCTGACTGGTGAGTGCAGTAATACGCTAGTCGCTGAGTTCAATGCATAGGTTAAAATAAGCAGAAAGATGATCCAACGAGCGAGCCTGAAGAGGCGGCAGGCGGCATTGGGTTTCGAGTCAAGGCTTTAGGGGCGCTATTCGGGTTGCTTATATTCATCACGATAAATAGTTAACTGTCTATCATCAAACGCGCAAGTGGACTCGTCTCTCTAAGCCAGCCACCAGAGTGCGCCTACCTGAATTCTGAAACCAGATTCCATGATACACGATGCCTTGGCTAACTCTTCATCGCACTGATGCTCTGCTATATCACGACAATAGTCCAAACGTCGGCACCCTTCCTATTACTCCCGTCTCTCAACATTAGAGAATAGAGTCTCCCAGGCGTGCCTGATCGTCAACTGAGACAAACTAGTACAATTCTTAGCTGCATCCGGGGATGTAGCCAAGATAGTCGAGCCGCCGAACTAGATGGGGTTGTTGTTGCTAACTTGACCCTTTGCATGAGAATTGATTATCCTGCACTGGGCCTAGGCGATTCGCCCCCATGCTCTTAGTAGTCCGTCGACTGTAGAGCTAGCAAGCTGTACTGTCGACTCCGCAGAGTAGGAACAGCAAGTTCTAGACACACATAGAAAGCGTGATGGCATTTGAAGGAAGCTGCCGACTTGCACAAACGAGGCCGATAGGCGGCAAAACCTCGAGGAATTCGCCTAGGATTCTGCTTTCAGGCTGTCTAAATGACGAGTAGGTAGCGATCAAAATAGCTCTTCCTCAAATCTGGTGTAGAGAAGGAAGCACAGCCGTGAAAAAGCAGTCGTTGGCAAAGAACTTCTGTGGTCAAGTACTAGGCCAAGAGATTGACATACCAATTAGACGATGATACATTTCAGATATGCAGGAATGCGGAAGGACAACCTGAATAGGCACAAGATACGCTGGCAGAAAAGTTCCATTGTCACAGCTCCTTGACCAAATGTGATGCTATACACGGCAGGCCCAGCTTAGGATGATTGTCAGAAGCCGCCCCTCGGGGTGGCGATTCTTTTACAACGCGAAGTTCTTGCCCTGCGAAATAGGACAAGTCAACAGCAAGGCCCCTTTTCAACGACTAAACTCGGCATGAAAACACCCGTACCACGAGGAACAAATCCCAGCGCCAAAACCCGAGGAGGCTCAACTGAGGGTGCGTACGTTCCTGCCTCTCTCTCCCTTTATTCTACAGTGATCTGAATGTGGTTCGGACAAAGCCTGAGGCAACTGTGGCACGAACAACTGTTATTGTGATGCGCTGTTGCCCATCCTAATTTCCACATTCACCCCATTGTCAGTCTTGGGCACAAAGTCGGAAAAGATGCGAGCGGAGGTGACGATTTCCCTTGTGGTGCCACGATTAGGGGCCAGAGTCCGTTTGAGTAATTCACCGTGTACGCCCAGATCCCAAGCAGCTTTCGAGGAACCACAACGTAGGCATCGCGGGCGTCGAGCACAATCTCCTTTAGAACTTGAACTTCTGTGAATGCAGCTGGCCTTGTCTCTTGCATGTTTTCTTTAGTGTACTAGGAGGCTCGTATTGTTCGTCTGATCAACACGTTGATCTCTTCCCGTACCAGACTTGACAAGAAACAACAATGGCCAACCGTGATATCGTATATTTGATTGTACAATGACACGACATCTGGCGGCAATCGCTTTGTAGGGTTGTCTTCCAACGCGACATATTGAACCGCCTTTTCGCGATAGCGGAGGCTTTGTGTTTGCCCCGTTGGACTTGTCAACCTTGACCTACGAAGTAGAGCCTTGCGATTGTTGAGAGGATGCTGAACGGGGAGGGATGTGGGAGGCAAGGCAAGACTTGTAATGCTGAACGAATCGTGTGAGGTGAATGTTCCTCTCTCGAGCGTGGTGCTCTCACTATTCTTCTACTGAACACAACACAGAGAGATAAAGAGGGCCTCGCAATTCCCACTCCTGCCCTTCGGAAAGCCGATGATAGGGGGCTCAGAACGGCGCCATCAATTCGGCCACAATCGGCCAGCCGATACCCTATATTACTTGGAACCCTACTCTTTGCAATTATCTACTACAATCGGGAGGGCATGATACAGGTGTGCCATGTTGCTTAGCGGCGCTGTCTTGACAGCCAAAGGGCGTCCCTCACACTCCCCAGATTCCTGAGCGCTGTTTTTCTCGGCTGGGGCATTGTAGAGAAAATCATCATAAGTCCAGGCCTCGGTCCAAATAAACTTGCCCAGAAAGTTTCCCTTCACATGTTGAGCCCATTTGAAATTTCGAGCGGAAAACTTGGTGTTCTCATTGTCCTCCTGCCAGTTGTCCCAGATCCAGAGCCAGTGATCCTCGTAATTGTCTTGACACACCTCGTGGTCGATAAAGTCAAATAGGTTGAATTCCACCTCGATGAATAGCCCGGGCCATTCTTTCTGGAGTTTCCTGAGTGACCTTTTCCAGTGACTGTTGTCGACGATCCAGCAGCCAAACCAGAAAACAAACTTGACTTTGTTGATATTCGGGAGTTTTTTCTTGAGGGAGAGAATTTCATTGACGACCTTCTTGGCCAATCTCTTCCCTCTGTCGTGCTTATACCAAAACGCATATAAATCTTTCAAGTCCCCATACTCTTTAAAGAACTCTTTGACGTAATGGGAAGTTGTTGATTGAGAAGCTTCGATTATGAGTGTCCCGGTGGATTGTCTCATCCTTTTTGAACATGCGGCAACTCGAGGAGCAAATGGCAACTCGTGTTTCACATAATCGCACGGCTCCTGGATAGGAATCACCATGGTGTGCTCCTGATACAAGTGAGGCTGCATATCCTCCAAGATCTTCTTATCCAGATAGAAAAGTGGATATTTTTCTGCGGTATACGCTGTCTGCGATGCAATGGCGTTGGTGAAGACTGGCTCGGATGGTTCAAAGGTGTATTCGTAGATCATCTGTCTGATCTCTCTGGGTAGATGGCCGAAGGTTACTTTGGGTGGCATTTTGACAAGAGACGGAATTGATATCAAGAAGATTTATGCCGGTATTCAAATGAAGACTTGGTTGCATAAACCACTGCTGAGACCGAGTGAGACTTTATATAAATGTGGGAGTCCACCGAGGTGGATGAAATTCACGGCTGACGTGAGATTGCGTACCTGTTCTGCCTTGTGAATGGAGACAGTAAACTTAAGTGAACCAGTTGAAATTCATTAAACTGGGCAACGCAAGGGCTTATTATGGCGGTCTGAAATTAATCATACGATATTTCAAGGAATATCTTACTCATACCGGCGAATTCCTGATATGGGATTTAACAACTCTATGTCTTATCATCCTCAATGGCTTCGTCGTTTCACCTGCCTCTTCTTACGGTGGTGGTCATTGAATAAGTTTCAGGCTTGAGTCATCCTCCTGCCGCTCAAGTGTTGTGTGATGCGGCCCTGGTTCAGTCTGTGTGAAAATAGGGGCTGTTTGCCTAGTTTTGACTAAGCCTCTTTCACTAAATATCTGATGAGGCTGTAACATTTGGCGGTGAGTGTTGGCTGCCCTGTCTGTCCTTGGCGACTAGCTCGGTGGCAACCCCGCCGGTTCCCCAAGTTCAAGGCCGATACTGTAAACTACCGTCTATCGGACGTCATGTTTGCCTCTATAATCCTTGTCCGTGTAAAAGACGAACTAAGTAGTATCTCTAAAAAGATGTGATGGGTATCCGAGTTTCATTCAGGCACCCGGCATCGACATTTGAGGGGTTTTCCCACCGCTGAGACATATCTACTCGCAGCTAGCCCGGCTGACTTTCCCGTGCAAAATTCCGAAAGATGAGCTTATTGACAAGGAAAGAGGGGTTTATTTGCGCCGAAGCCCAGTTCCCAGGTCAGATGAGCCAGTCCAATCAAATGCGTGTATTGGAAGCTTAAATACGTGCGCGAGAGGCTTATCGGTGACGGCGACTCACAGAGCCCATCATGGAGAATTACCCAGAAGCTTGTAGCTTTTGTCTTTGTCCTGCACGGTAGACACCACTAGATGCAAGCGTTCCAAGCGTCGTATGCATACACAGTCCTGTCAGCTTTTATCCCAAACACGTTCCTCCCTCTATCACTACCGGCGGGCCAGAATGAGCCGGAAGCTCATCCTATGTGCTGTGGCATCAGGAGAACACATCATTTCGCCCCAGCTAGAGACTTCGACATGCTTCAACTATTCGATCTGTTCTTTACTATAGTTGCAGCCCGGCCCTTGGCGGGTTAAGTGAGTTTAAAGACCGCTCCAACTATTCATCGGGGCATCTTGCCATTGACGCCCTAGATCGAGATGCCTTGTCAGACTGCTAACTATCACCCTGTCACTAGTAAGTTTATACTTTATCCAGGGTTCCTCTTCGCCCATGTTCCTCATGATAGTTGTCAACGCAAACCTGGCTGTGCCCAGGAATTGCATCTTGCTATACCTCTCCAAAGATTATGGTATTTGTCCTCGTTGTCAAACCACTCGCAAAATATCATTCTAAAGGGCTGCTGACTCGTCAGCGTAGTATATTCTCAACAAATCTGAACTCACCAAAGGCGGTTATCGTCGTAAAAAGCATAAAAACTAAGCTCCTGCCCAAGGATGGGAGCTTTTGTTACTCTAAATTGTGCGGAGCTGGTTCGTCAGAGTTACTACTTCGTCATCTCCTAACAGAATGTAGATGGACGGACAATGATACCATGCGTGTTCACTCGTGGCCCTCGGACATAAAGGAGCGTTATGTAGAATTTTTCAACCTCATCAATATTTTCAAATCCTCATCTCACTAACTGACAATGGCCAATGCGGAGTTCTGAGACCGGGGAGACAGGGACCAGCGCTGGGCGATCTGGGCAAAAATGGTGCTCTGACAGAGTAGCTGATATGAGCTCCGCAAGGAGACACTCGACTCAAATGGAGGCATTCAGCTGTGCTACAATGCCCAGCATTCTTTTAGAAGCACGTGAAACCAAGCGTCATGACCATCATGGCGACAAAGTCCATCTTGGAGGTCTCTACACTCTGGGTCCACCATGGAATGATTGTATTAGTCCTGGGTAGCCTTGACTTCTGTCTTCCCGGGCCCCGACAGCACTGCATTATCGGCTCTGTGATTCTGTAGCTCAACGTCTTGAGAGAGTGTCAAGTCTTTGCCGCGGACTGGCTGACACATGACCATGGAGTCCCGGCCACCATTGGCAACACCCCCCCGTTCCCCCGTTTTGCCCGGTATACCCTTAACAACAAAAATCAGGTGCACGGTATCTAAGGCTCCTTCAAGAGAAGGTACTCTTCGCAAGAATCAATCCCAGAGCATTCTTCGATGACTGCCCGGCGGTCACCACCCAACTTATATGGGCAGGGCAGCACGAGCTCCTCTTGCTGGGTTGGCGGGGGCAGACCCGGGTCGTGAATGGTCACCCTCGGCTTGGACTCGTGGTGTTACCAGCATGTCTTCGACAACCTTATTGGTGGAATGACATTAAGTGGCTTCTGGTTCACTATCGAGAAAGCCATGGCCCATCAAAGGGCCCAGACTCTCCTGTTTGGGGCCTAGTAGATCCAGCCACCGTCAACATTATAGACGGCACCAGCCACAATGTTAGCCTCGTCACTGATCAAGAATGCAATGAACTTTGCTACCTCACTTGGGGAGCCCAGTCTCTTCTGCGCGTTCGCCCTAGTACCAGCTTCTACTCCTATCAGATTATGGACCTCGGACATGGGAGTAAGAACGATCTTCGGGCTCAGTCAACCCATCGAGGGCCGGGCTGCAACTAGAATAAAGAACAGATTTGGGAGTGAGAATAGTTCATGCTCATACATAAGTTTGGGGTTTGCTCTGACAGGACGAGCGTCTCTTTTGGACGTTCTCAGGACACCTGCCATATTCACTGCTGCGTTGAGCTTGCCAAAATGCTGCACCGTCTTCTCGATCCACGCATTCACAGAAGCGCTTTTTCGAACATCTACTGGCACGGCTAGGTACCTCTCGTGACTACCTTGCAACAATTTAACGGCCATTTTCAGCACTGTCTCATTCAGATCAGCCGAGGAGAGAGAGCCCCCCCGAGCTGCTAGTAGTTGAGCTGTTGCAAGATCCATGCCGCGGGCTGCGCCCGTGATGGCAATCTTCATCTGCACATTAACATCGCGACACATTGGTTCGTGAACAACTTAGGTACTCTGGATGCTATTCCGCGATCCGCCGTGACGGTTGCTGTAGGAGAAGCGAGGCTGGTTACCCATCCAAACGTCATCATTGCTGACAGCTTGTTAGCTAAGTATGCTAGGAGGACACTGTATCCCGTTCTTGGAGGTTTCAGTGTCGCCCGTCTCTTCGCCAATGGCTCGCCTTGTTCTAAGGCGGGCTTGGAACTGGGCCCCCGCTTCACTATTGGAGACGAGTGCTTCATTGTGTTCAAAGATAATATACGCGCTAACCATTTAGTAATTCGCCGAGATATTATATTTAAGCTCTAACTAATATTTTCCTTCCTATACTCCTTATAGGTTAACTTACCTTAATAGCTATTACCTAAACCTTTCTATCTTTATAATTAAAACCTTTTTCTTTCTTTTTAAGTTACTCTTATGACTTAATAACTTAAAAACCTTAATCCCCTCCCTATTAATTTATATTAAAAAAAAAGCCCCGGTAATATATTCTCTATAACTTATCCTCTATAGCTAATTTCCCCGCTTTACCTATAGTCTTCTTCTTATTATACCTCTCTTAGCTATTAGATTATATCTAATAAGTTATTAATCTAGCTTATATTTCTTTTTATAACCTTAAGAAATAGATATTTATTAGGCTTTTTATCTCTAAGACTTTTAAGTTATAATAACTTATAGTATTATATAAAATACCTAAGGTTTTATAATACCTCTAGGCACTTTAATATTATAAGAAATATTTCTTTATTTAAGATTATAAATTTAAAATAAATATTTAATTTAATAATTTAATTTATAATAGCTTTTATTATATTAATATTATAAAATAATAATAATTATATATTATAATAAAAGTTATATATCTTAAAAAAAAAATTAAAAAATAAAAAAATATTAATTTTTATATTTAATAATAATATTATAATTATATAATTTCTTAATTTTAATTATTTAATTAATTATAATTCTTAATATTATATTTAAAGATATAATTTTAAGGAATTATAACTTAAGAAAATAAAAAATAAATAATTTTTTTATTTTTTATATAGAGATTAAAATAATTTAAATATCTATAAGAAATTAGATTTTTATAATAATATAATTAAATATAATTTTTTTATTATTATAAAAGTTTAATTAAGTTATTATATTAATATTAACTTATAATATTATAATATATTTAAGATCTATTCTTTATTATAGTTATAGCCTAGCCCTTAATGGGTTACTTAAGCCCGAAGATCGGAGATAAGTGCCCTAGAACTAGTTGCGCGGGGTTGGAGCGAAGAGGTAGCCAAATGACGACTGGTCGAGTGGCAAGGAGGATGCACTTAAATGATGGTCGGTCAGAATCGAAGAATGATAAGAGATCCATAGGAACGAACGTGATGGTGGAACAATGTAATTAAAACATATGAGGGGGTGATCATAGGAAACTCTGTCCAGCTAGATACAATCGAAACAAGCCATGACAGGCGTGTGTATAGAGCCAGTGCCTTGCCAGACACTCGAGAAGACAGTGCGTCGGGAAGAGGAGTGGTGATATCGCCCTGCGGTATAGCAGATGGACATTCCAAGCTGGTCGATATCTCCTGGTCGAGGATATAGGCTCCCCACCACATAGTGCCGCAGAGTGCCATGAGGCCAGGACCGAGACCATCTGGCATGCGACGATGAAAGCCGTCATGCAGCGCAAGGCGGGGTGGTTGGCCAATTTGCATTTCGCGAGCAAGTATTGGCATCTCGATCTGTGAGGAGGCGGCAGGGTGATGACGAACATATTGATACGCGGCGGACCGCATGTCAATGGAGTGGAAATACAGAGCGGCCAACGATAAAACCTCAATTGCCTGTAAAGCCGGACGTTGATCCTGAAGAAAGGCCACGTCAGGAAGCAACGAGAGGGGCCGTTTGCCGCCGGGTCACAACGACTCGGCGTGAGCGCCTTTCCAAAGGCAAGAATCGGGAGATATCCAACAAACTACATTCTGTGCACCTGCGTCGTCTCCCACGGTTGCCTGTGGAAATATTCAAAGAGACGAAGGAACCTTGGCTCATCAAAGATGCGGAAAAGCTCGCCCAGGCCAAACTTTGTACAGAAAGAAGGTATGTCGGGGCAATTTTCAGCATTTTCCAACACGGGAAAGGCTCTGCGACAAAATGTCAAGGTAAAAGCTGGGACGAGGAACCCTGCGAAGTCATTATGTGCTCAAATCAGTAATTAAATCGATGGAGTCACAATGAGGGTCCAGGGAAAGGATAATGGGACATCAAAACACACAAAGACGGCTTGCAGGAGTGCCTTGCACCTAGGCAAAGTCATTCCATACCAAGGTGTTGCGAGATGAACTAGGGCGGCCTGCATCGTCATATGGGGGCTCTGTGTCCTCAGCAGCGAGCCCCAGGTTACAAGAGTCATTGGGAGACTGTCGATCCACATTTATCTTTGGGTATGGATTCGAGCAAGTGAATGGCGAGCAGAAGAGGTGTTGTAAACGACTTAGTCATGGGCCTTGTTTGTACCATCCTCTTGGCTTGGCATACAGAGTCGTTCGCGATAAGAGGCAGGGGGACTTCGGGGTAAGTATCGATCTGACAAAGTTAATCCCATAGTTGTAAAGACCCACCCGGCGTGGCAAAGTCCTTATAACGAATGAGAAGTCCAACTAATTATCGAAAAGATAGAATGGCTTCTGCGGCAAGGTCGGCCGACAGTTATATATGCAACTAATTAACGTCAAGCTACCCCATACTCAAAGACTCCCCGCTCCCAGCCAACTAAGGATCTTTATACCCTGAACTTCAACACATATAAGCCGCTTGCACAGCGTCCTCCCTTACATCAGAAGCCACTGCCTCGCTCTAAGTCGACATTATATTCAAAGATAATATATACGCTAACCATTTGGCAATTCGCCGAGATATCGCATTTAAGCTCTAACTAAGCCTATACTCCTCTATTACCTAAACCTTTATATCTTTATAATTAAAACCTTCCTCCTTAATAGCTTAAGTTATTCCTATAACTTAATAACTTAAAAACCTTAATTCCCCCCCCCGGTAATATATTTTCCCTAACCTATCCTCTATAGCTAATTTCCCCGCTTTATATATATCCTCTTAGTAGCTTTAATATTATAATTAGCTTTAATAAGCTATTAACTTAGCTTATATTTATTATTATTGCCTTAATAAGGTAATATTTTATAGGCTTTATAAATCCTTTAAGCTTTAATAGCTTTATATATTATATAAAATATTTAAATACTTAAAATACCTTTAGGGTCTTTAAAGCTATAAGAAATATCTTATAAATTAAAATAACGTACATGATAAGCGAGCGACGCGGACAAGCGAGCGACGCGCTTTTCCTCCTTATACCTAACCTTCACTTAATTAATTGATTTATCAACTATAAAACATGTCAGACCCAAATATTGAGGCTAGAACCCTTCTTGCCCTTCAGGCCCTTCAAAATAACCTAAACCTACGTATTAAACCTACTGCAAGGATCTATAAGATCTCTGAGGCAAGATTACGTCGCCGGCAGGATGGCATTTAATCTCGAGGCGATATTATCCCTAACTCACGCCGACTATCTAATCTAGAGGAATAGATTATAGTTTAGTTTATTCTCGACCTAGATTCGCGAGGATTTCCTCCCCGATTGCGTGCTGTGGAAGAAATGGCCAACTGATTGCTTGCCGACCGCGATGCGTTACCCGTCGGTAAGCGCTGGGCTCATAACTTCGTTAGGCGACACGAAGAGGTTAAGACGCGTTTTTTTCGTAAATACGACTACTAGAGAGCTAAATGCGAAGATCTAACCGTTATTCGCAACTGGTTTCGGCTTGTGGCGAATATAATCGCGAAGTATGGCATCCGATTAGATGATATCTGGAACTTTGATGAGACTGGCTTTCTTATGGGCATGATTGCAAGCGGAATGGTTGTTATAGGTATAGAAAGGCGTGGACGACCGAAATCAGTGTAGCCTAGAAGCCGGGAATAGATTACGGTCATTCAGGCGATTAACGCGGCCGGCTGGGCGATCCAGCCGTTTATTATCGGTGCGGGCCAATATCACCTCGCTAATTGGTACCGACACAGCAACCTCCCGGGCGATTGGGCTATTGCAACGACCCAAAATGGCTAGACCGATAACGAGATCGGTCTCGAGTGGCTAAAGCACTTCAACCGGTATATAAGCAATCGATCAATTGGTTCCTATCGTCTTCTGATCCTAGATGGCCACGAAAGTCACTACTCCGTCGACTTTGAGAGATATTGCGAGGAAAATAAGATCATCACGCTTTGTATGCCGCCTTATTCGTCTTATCTGCTTTAGCCCCTTGATGTCGGGTACTTTAACCTACTTAAGTAGGCTTATGGTCGGGAAATTGAGCGTCTGATCAGATGCTCTATAACCCACGTTTTAAAGACCGAGTTCTTCCCGGCCTTTTATGCCGCATATTAGGCCACTATGACAGAAAGAAATATTAAGTTAGCCTTTAGAGGGGCTAGGCTTGTTCCTCTTGACCCAGAAAGTGTGGTCTTAAAGCTTGATGTGTAGCTATGGACGCCAACGCCTGCCGAGGAGGTAGCTAGCCCCTCGACCCCTTGGGTCTCAAAGACCCCAAAGACTATCCTCGAGGCCTAATCTTAGTCTGAATACCTCAATAGACGAATTAGAAGGCATTAAAGTAGCTCCCTAGAGTCGATTCTAGGAGCTCTTAAGTTACTTGCTAAGGGAACTACGGCAATAATGCATGAGAATGCCTTATTGAGGGCTAAGGTCTAAGACCTTTGATAGGCAAATGAGATATTAAGCCGGCGGCGGAGGGCAAAAAGGACCCGACTATAAAGAGGAGGGGTAATGATAGTAGAGGAAGGAAGGCAAGTAATTGATTAGAGGGATGTTGATGCGTAGGTAGTGGCGGAATCGT